TATTGAGGCCATACTCTTAAGTGAAATAAATAGGACACACATGTGCAAATACTGAATTGTTTCTCTAATGTGAGAAACTGAAAGTGTAAATAAGGATTAAAATGAATAATTGATAATTTGAAATAGAAAGAAAAGGTCCAAAGTGGTAGGGGAAGTTAGGAGGGGAAGGGGAAAGGAAAGAAGGGAAAGGAAAAATTATGAGGAAAGGAAAAAATGGAAACAAAGTCTTTGTAAGTAGGGAAGGGTGGAGGGGGTGAAGGGAGGACAAGAAATGGGGAAAAAATAAGAACCAAGATTCATCATGTACAGGCAGAAGTACCCAATGATAAATGTAAATGTATTGTTTACCTAAAATGTACCAACAAAAGAATTTAAAGAAAAAAATTGTAAAAGAAGGTGAAATGATATACCCTGTGCAAAATCCTTTCAATTGGCTGGCTTGGCCTATGCAAAAGCCCGATGGGACATGGTAAATGACAGGTTCGGGTGTGCCACATCATTCCTTGTCCCCAATGAGCTCCCTAGTCTGTTGCAGAAACAACCTAACCTGAGACATTGCCACTTTGAGCCCATGTTCTGCTCCTTGGTATGCTGCAGTGCTGGGAAGAGCAGGCCAGGAGGAAAGGCAGGCAAGCCAGTCCCCAATGCAGTCACAGGACCCATTCTTCAGAAAGTTGCAGGATGCAGCTGAGTTTGGACCCCATCATGGTGGTGGTGATAACTGTCAATTGACCTCTTAGGCAAGTTCTCTATAACTGGTATTATTTCCTGGTAGCCAGATGAGGCAGACACAAATGAGGTTAGGGCAGGAACCGAGTCAGCTAGATATGTTCCCCTTTGAGGGTATACCCAGGATAAGTAGAAAATGGTTCTGAGAGAAAACGGGAAGACAGGTGGCCCAAGCAATGGACTTCTGTCCACTGACCCACCAAGCAAATGTCTGGGGAGGAATATGGCACCGCCATGCCAGTGATGAACCCAGAGGATTAGCTCTTCCTCCATGGAAGTTCCTGTAAAGAGCCTCAGATGCCTTGGCTGCTTTCCTGACACCAGTCAACCCATTTTGTCACCTCCAAGGCTTCATATGTTTCATTATTTGCTTGTGTTCACTCATTTCACCCAAGCCACTTTGATGAATATTGGTTGAGTCTGGTCTTTTTCATTACCAAAAAGTAGGGGATGCCATTGGGCACCAAATGTAAGGATTAGGGGGAATGGGGCTTGTTGGAGACCCCTGCATTAGGTCCCAGTCTCCTGTGAGCCACCACAGCACCAACTAAAGTTTTAAGAATAGATGGAATGAGACTTATAATGAAGCTGAGTCTTGGGCCATGATCGGTGTTGCTGATGGAAGCAAAGACAAAGACCCTCAAGCACAACCAGTATTTATTGAATACAATCATGAGAAGGAATAGGGAGCTAGGGAGCTTTGAAGTCATCTAGTGAATTATTGCCAAACACCTGGTGTGATGGCACCAGGCAGGGATGTTATGGAGTAGGCACTGCTTATCTTGCTAGGGTAGAAGAAACCAATACTGGGACCAGGCACAATTAGCAAGCAACCCACAAGGTCACTAAGAAGCAATATTCAGGGGAAAGGATTTTAATTGGGGTCATGCTGATCTCAGTGGCATGAAATTTAGCAGGGCCCTGCCACTTCACAGACCAGGATTTAGGCCTCATTGACAGCCATTAGCAAAGGAGCAATACTAGACCAACTTTGTTAGCTGGCACGCCTGTTTGAGTCATGCAAGGCTTTGGTCTAACTCCTGATATAAAACAGCATAGCAGAATTAGGAAAGCAAGAAGCATGTGCCATTCATAGCCCGCTAGTACTGGGCAGGGAGGTCTGCTACAGGATGCAAGGGAACTGAGACAAGGGAAAGGAGAAACAACTTCTCCAATTGTTCCTTCAATTGAAATCATGATATCCTATCTACCCTCCTATTCCTCTCTCACCCTGATTGAAGTTCTGGTGTTACCACCCCTCAGTGTTTAGTTCCTATTTTCCAAATTCTTCAGCTTGTTTTGTTAAGGAAAATATAAAATAATATAAAATAACTGCCTGCTTCATTCTGCTTCTGTAACTTGCTTCACTTCTGAGAATACTGTTTCACTTCTCAAAACAGCAATACCAGATGGTTCGCCATTAGCCACAAGTCTGTAGGCACGAGATAAACAAAAGCCTAGAACACTGCCTAACCACAACCCCCACCCAAGTGAGGCCAGATGTCTGCACCATGCCTCATCAGCAAAATTACACGTAGACCCTAAGCTTTCTGTAAACCACATGACCAGAATTGTATAACTGTAAGCCACCAATGTAACTCTGGGTCAGTCCTTGAAGGCATGTTCCTGTGGGCCTGGCCTGCTAGCAAATAAATTTTGTTGTTTTACCCCTGCTCCTCCGTCTCCTGTGAGTTTTGTGGTTACTCCCAACAAAATTCACAACAGTTTGTGTTTCAACATTATGCCACTCTATCAATTTCCCAAACAACCTTTATTCCTGTCCTCAGGTGCTTACCTTTTGGCTGTAGTGATTGTTAGCTGAAGCTGACATCTGTGTCCTGTCAGCCCCAAGGGAAGAACAAGAGAGATCTGCTGTTTAAAACCACTAACAAATAGAGATGTTTGCATGTTCTGAAAAACAGGTTAAATTTGAGAACATCACTCCCTGCACTGTGAAATTTCTGCAACAATAAAAAGGTCAGTGCAGAAATGGAGTCTGAATTTCTGACCTTTACCTACAGGAGAGAGGAAAAAAAGATGGCTCCTGAAGTTAATGAGCACATGATTTAAGTCCGATTGAAAATCTAGAATTGGACAAAGCAATGGATTGGCAATTAAAATTAAATTTTGAAGTTGTACACTTTCTAAGGTTTCACCTTCTCACCTAAAAGAGTTGGTTATCCTTTAGTTTCACGTCCTTGCCAAGCTACAAGGAAGCAGGACTGCAGACATCTAACTGGTGGGGCCTAAAGGTAGGGTATCTGGGCCAGGTTGTGTTTCACAGACTGCCACATTTACTTCTTCCAGGCCTTGTATTGCTAGTTTGGGACAGCTGAGAGCAGCTCTGTCTTAGGGAAATGTGGGTAGTGTTTAGGGCCACAGAAGAATGGACTTCAGGGAGCAGCGGAGGTCAAGATCAGTAAGTACGAACCCTGAAGGGAACTCTGGAAATTCTATAGGTGATTGTTACGGGCGCACAAGGCGCTGAAGGTTTGGATTGGTTTAGACGCAGAAGGAAATTCGGGTTCTGATTGGTTATGGAAAGTACGAACGGCCTGTACCTGGGCAAGACGTGCCAGTCCTCTGACAGGGGCCTCAATAAGCTGGGCCCAACCCTTGTTTGTGACGTAAGTCAGCAGCTGGGCCTCAGGTGCGGTCTTGGCAGGTGAGGCCCAAAGCCAGCTCTGTGAGCCCACAGACCCGTAGTGGGATGCGGGGCCATGGCTGCAGCGGCCAGGCCCAGTGCTGAATCCCAGGGCGCTGACATGAGCGCCCAGCGGCCCGCGGGAAGAGCCCTCGGGGGACTGCTGAGGGGGATCCAGAGCTCAGTGCTCAGAGTGTCCCAGGTGGTGCTCCGGGCCATCACCGCACACAAGGGGCTGACTCTGACTGCCCTCAGGAAGGAGCTGGCCAAGGCGGGCTACGAAGTGCGCAGGCAGGTCAGCAGCCACTCGGGCGGAGCGCCCAGGCCCGAGGGCAGGGGCGTGTTCCTGCGGGTCAGCAGCAGCAACTCGGTTGAGTGCTTCAGGGTCTGGAGGACTCCGAAGCCAAGGAGAAAGCCCGGACGCCCGAGGCTGGAGGAGGGCGGCAGCTCTTCGAGGAGGAGCCCGCCCAGGCTCCGGAAGCGGCGGAGGCGCCTCACGCGTCGCCAGGCGGCGAGCAATGCCAGGGAGGAGTGGAGACGCAACGCGTGGCTGAAGGCGAGGCCTCCGGCCAGGGCCAGGGGGAGGAGGCCCAAGGCCCCAAGACGCGCTTCGAAGGGAGACTCCAGGCCTGAGCCCAGAGGCCAGAAGAGGTCAAGCTCGAAGCTCAGGCAAGAGAAGAAGCAGGAACCCAAGAAGCAGGCACAATGGGCCATCCAGAGGCCAACAGCGGATAAAGCCGACCGGCCTTGCAGCGGGCCCCGGGAAGGCACACACCAAGACCTCCACTAAATCCCAAGGTCCCCGGAATGCAGCCGGGAGCCCATGGTGGGAGAGCGGATTCAGGTCCTCGGGGCGCTGATGCCTTTCCCCCATGGACCGCTGAGAAAGCAGCTCTCCCTCTCAATGAAGCTGTTTACATGGCGCTTTGTGTTTGTTTGTTCTTAACTGGAAGGGAAGGAGTAGGTGTTCAGCTGAGACCAGTAGCAGGAACATGGGAGGTCAGTCAAGAGAGGAACAGAGCTGAGATTCTGTTCCTGCTGCCCGACCAGGCGGGAAAGAAAACAGGAAACCACCAACTAAACAGGGTTAGTTAGATAGAAGCGTTGAATTAATGATAAACAACCTAGCAATTCCACATTGAGTTTTGGGGAGGGGGCCATGTTGCCAGAAGAGACAACCTTTGAATGGCCCTTGATGCAAAGTGTTCTTACTGACATTCCTTTATGACAAAATTTCTTCTTCCAAAATTGATTATAATGATTTTGTAAGTTTTTCCCTGAATTGATACGCTATTTTAATTTTTAAAAACGTCTTCAGCTAAATGAAGTAGTGAGAAAGCATCCAGCAAGAGCATGGCACGGGCTTGTTGGGAGTTAAATAACAATAATTCCTAACTGGGGGGTAATGTGCTATAGCAGAACACTGCCCTGAACCAGTGCTTAAGTGAGACCAGGATTCTAGTCAAAGCTGTGCTGCTCTGACTTCAGCCACATCATTACCATAGCATTCATGGGTTCCTCTCTGTAAGATATTGGAATTGTACTTGGGTGATTTTAACCGTCAGTGAAATGATAAGGGGGGGGCTTGGCACCACGATAGATAGATACGTTACTTGACAAAATTTAAAAGTAAGGGAAATAGGTGCTGTGAAAGTGCTCACTCCTAGAGAGGAAGTAAGTTTTATAGAATGCATATCAGAAATCCAGGAGATGGGGAAGGTTAGAGGATGAATAGATCCTTTGCTTTTGTTACGCCACCACACCGCTTCCCAGGTACTATATCAAATTGTGGAACAAACAGGAATTTTTTTTCTTAAATTCTTTTATTGGTACATTTTAGGGATACAGTATGTTTACATTTATCATTGGGTGCTTGTACCTGTACATGATGTATCTTAGTTCTTATTTTTCTCCCCATTACCTGTGCGCCCTTCACCCCTCCACCCTTCCCTATTTACATAGACTTCATTTCCATTTTTTTTCTCATAATTTTTCCTTTCCATTCTGTCCTTTCCCCATCTCCTAACACCACCCCTACCCCTTTGGACCTTTTCCTATTTCAAAGTATCAATTATTAGTTATTAAACCTCTTAATCCTTATTTACACTGTCAGTTTCTCACACTAGAGAAACTATTTGGTATTTACACGTGTGTCCTATTTATTTTACTTAAGAGTATGGCCTCAATATGTGTCCATTTAGCAATAAATGACTCTAGTTTCTCAATTATTTATGGCTGAGTAGTACTCCATTTTATAAAAAACCCACATCTTCTTTATCCAGTTTCCCCTTGATGGGCAATTGGGCTGTTTCCAAGCTTTAGCTATTACAAACTGTGCCGGTATAAATGTGCCTGCACATATATACCTGTGGTATGATTCTTTCAATTCTTTTGGGAAAATACCCAGCAGGGGAATAGCTGGGTCAAATGGGACCTCCAGCCCTAGTTCTTTGAGGTATCTCCATACTGATTTCCATAGTGGTTGCACCAGTCTGCACTCCCACCAACAATGGAGAAGGGTTCAGTTCTCTCCATACCCCTGGGAGCATTTGTTGTTGGTTGATTCTTGATA